TATGCATCCCAGTCGGATATATAGAAGTGCAAGAAAAACACTATAACTTCCGTTTTAACTACAGTTCTTTTCTGAACTGCTGGGGAACCACACAGTTCAGTTCTATTTCAGTTTTTTCATTAGGTGTTTACATGCCCACTACCCTACTAAAGTAAGTTGAGGTTGCAGTAAATATAAGTCATAAAGGTGACGATGGCAAACCATTGACAATGGGTGTTTCTTCTAAGTGTCGAGTGTAACCTTAATATTCTGTACTTGGAGCACTGAATCTTAAAAACTTGCTAAGTTGAGAGCACTCAAATCTAGCTGTGGTCTCTCAGCAATCGTCAAACTCGTGTTTCACATTTACTGTGAAAGGTTTTCCTCTGAGTTATAACTTGTCTTCTGGAGTTAAGAGACGCGGATGAAGTTACTGACAGGAGAATTAGAAGATGTGTATTTTACCAGCTGTGTGTGCTGTTCTCTGCAGCAAAAAGCAAATCAAATTCCCAATTTGCCAGTTGAATGGATGATTCTTGAGAAAAGGGAAAGTGCAGAATGGAGCTGGGGGGAAAAATATGTGGGGTGAAATAAAGAAAACACCTGAGTGAATAAAAAAATACAGAAACCTGATGGAGCACATTTCCAGGCATTTATACCCACTCATCCCATGTATTGGACATATTAACTGGCAATGAAGAAGGCATGTTGGAAAATGTCTAAAGTGGCAGGAGCTGCTTCTTCTACAAGGATAATATCCCCATGCACAGGGGTAGGGACAAAAACAGTGACTGACTCAGCTGACAAACTTAAACCTTAAATTAAGATTTGGATCCTGAGGCTGTTTTTGTCCTTACCAAATAAATAAAAAAAAAAAGTTGTGAATGCCTGAGGAGGAATTATATTTCTTTTTTTGGTTACCTAGCATGGCAAGGATGTAGGTTTGGTTTCAACATGTCAGAGTTTCTTCAACAAAGAACAAACATAAAAACCCTGAAATAATGCAAATCCTGCGTCTGACATTAACCTTGAGAACAACACATTATTATGACATTGGTTATCATTCATTCCAAAAATGTTTTAATCGAACTCTCACATTTAGTTTTTATTAATAGCATATTTTATGATATTTATATTTCATACTTAAGTGATTGTCAACAAATGTATCTTTTTAGGAGAGTATTGACTCTAAATAAAGATATTGATTTAATATAATATTTTCATGCCACGTTAGCAGCATTGCTCTGGGAATGGCAATGTCAGTCTTAACATCTATTTGAATGGATTGCCTTGACATTTTGTATAGTTTCCAGAGAATGAATTCTACTGACTTTTGGGGATCTCCCAACTATTCATCTAGCGTCACCATGAGGTTGACATTTCTGGCTTTGAATGAAATGAAAATTGGAAGATGTTTGCATGCTAAAGTTATCTTTTCGGTTAGTGTTTCCTTTACTTTTAGTCTTGCCTGTATGTTGTCAGAAGTTGTGGTTGTACAAGTTTTCTGTAGGTTTGTCAATGCAGGCAAGGTGGATCACAGATACTTAAAGAAGGACTTTAAATGTGTTTTGTGTGTTTTTAGATTTCCTGGCAAGACGCTGAAAGGGAAAAAATACAAGCCCCTTTTCCAGTACTTTGCCAAGGTTTGTAAACTCTGTGTTCTTGTTCCTGGCTGTTTTCTAGTTTTATCTGTTGTTTGCCACAGAATGAAGACGCACAAATGTCTCACTTGAATTACCTGTCTTACCACAAATTAGCATTTCAGTTTATGTTCTCTAAATCTGTCTCTTAATTTTTCTTGTCTCTCCGTGGTTCCATTTTATTTTTTTGTTTCCTCACCACTCGCCCCCCTTCATCTAATTCTCCTCATCGTTTCACGTCAGTGTGGGGAGAAAGGAGCTTTCCAGGTGGTGATGGATAACTATGTCAAGGAGGAAGAAGGCACAGGAGTGGTCCACCAGGCACCTTACTTTGGAGCTGTGAGTGAGCTGTTTTCCTGCTCTTCTGTTAGCCTCTGTTGTAACCACAGAATTACCTCATTAGTTAGTGTGATGTAGCATCTAAGCGATCAATAGATTCATATTTTGGCTTATAAAATGTGAAGAAAGGCTGTGTTCGGCCCTTATCGTCGATCCTTTTCGCTTCTGTCACTGTTGGGGGGGCCCTACCTGCTCCACCCTTCCCTGAGTGATTTGGAATGAGAGAAGTTGAGAGATGTGCTTTTTAAATGTTGCTTGTAGGAAGCTTGATTGTCCAGTGATGCAGACGCTATTATGGAACGTACTCTGGAAGGAAAACGAGGGCTCCCTCCTCGAGTGTAACTCTGTGGACTTCCCTCCATTCTGTGGTGAAAAGTGCATCTAGACAGTTTAGTTTTTCAGTGCCCTCTCGAAGCATTGCCTTTGCTGATGCAACTCGATTCAATTATGTTCTATTTTCTTGCTGCATTTCTGTAGTTGCTTATGTTTTTGTAATGTTTTTTTTTTATTGTTGTTCTAGTTACATTGCTTCCAGTGCCTTTACCCATTGCAAGTGTACCTCCTATATACTGGAGTTCACTGTATATATAGAATGAAACTTCCCACAAACAAGATTAGACCGCAATAAGATTGTTAATGAATTTGGTGGTTCAAAACTTGAGCCCAAGGCCAGCACATTTTATCAAGACTAATCAGGGCCCACTTGAGAACTGTGACCTTGTTTGTGAAAATCATTTAAGAGTTTAAGAGTTTTGTCTCGCAATACCTTACATATTCTTCAGTGTGTTTACACTGATATGTATGCTTATTGAAGATATAAAGTATTTGCATTGAATCTTTCAGTGTCAATGTATTCCCAAATTCTAGAGGCCAGTGTTGGAGTGCTATCAGAGGTGTTGGGTCATTCCTTATAGGTTAGATGCCCTTATCAAGGGCAGATGGATGCCCCTGTTGCTGTAGCCAGCTGTGGATACAGACTCAGTCTTAACTTAATCTTGTGCAATCTCCGCTTATTATGCCAGAGCTCAGTCCCTTTGTAGCTGTTAAGTAAACCCTTTCCATCAAGATCTCACTTACATTTGCATTTAACAGTTGTGTTATTTAGTGATCACATTCACATAGATTAGTCAGTGTAAATCTGAAAGACAAATGCATTTGCTCTGAAGATATACAGTGAGCAACTTCATTTTTCAAATTTTATGCTTTTATGACTAGATGTGAAATGACCCTGTGAGCCATCCATCTTGGATCCTGACAGGGTGTTTGAATACAAAATACATTTAGAGCTGGACTGTACACAGATATTTCATGCATAGCTGTCACATACCAGTAGTGCTTGTTTCAACGCTGCAAAACGTAATCAGCTTAACAAGGAATTTAATATGGAGTCATAACATATCTTTAAACTAGTGAATCTGTCTACCATAGGGGTTAGATAATTACTTATTTTCAAATACAGTTTGACCTAATTGGAGAATATTGTCTAAATAAATGACATGAGCTTGAAACACATGGTTGAATTATTTTCATTATAATTATTTTCTCAATAAATTGTTAGTTATAAAATGTGAGAAAATAGAGAAAAATGTCCAAGTCCAAGCTGACAAATCTTACTGCTTGTTGAATCAATTAATTGACTAAACCTTTCAACTTAAGTAGTTACAATGCACATTTTTTGCATTGAATTACATCAGCAGGGTTTTTGCTGCATAAAGAAATTTTTGGCGTCCCCAAAGAGATTTTAGCGAGCGCCAAAGGAAAATCCTCAGCGCCAAAATGATCAGAATTGGGAGGGGCGGACTAAAACCTTTCTGATCCTCTGTGAATGTGTTTTTAATAGCCATTTATCAAACAACTGTTGAGCAAGCAAAACATAAACTTAAATACAATGTCTTGTCTTCCAGCAGTCACCTCTCCTCTCATCCACAGCCACTGTATTTTACACATGCAGCTGGCGCTGGATTTATAAACCAGCTGTTGAAGCTTGCATTAATTACTTCCTGTTATTTCTCACACTATTAAAGCCGTTTATGCTTGAATGTGCTGGTATTCACCAGTACTCTCACTTTTACATTTTACTCTTTGGCGTACTGGCACCGGTTCTCTCTTCTGCCTCTCTAAATCAGGTTCTCTGGGAACTACGTGACGCTCACCTGTTCCCGTTCTCGCCTGCCTGCTAATCTCCGCGGGAGATCGGGAGCCTTACATGCAGCCATGTGTATAGTGGCTCGTCAAAGTCACTTTTCCGTTAACCTACCAATAACAGCCTGGAGTAGGCGGAACATAAAAAAAGGTTGAGGCACTACAGCAAACTTTAGAAATGTTTAACTCGTCGTTCTGTATGCACAGGTTTTATTTTTGACAAGTTAATATGCATAAACAAATGAGACTGACCACCGTGTAGAGCATTTCTCTTGTACAATAATTTAGTGACTGAAAACAACCCACAGAAACTGCTGTTTTGTCCAACTGGAATTAATATTAGGCTACTAATGGTAAGCTATAGTAGCCTGTACTATTATCTGAAATTATAATGAATACACAAACATTAGCACTAATCAAACCTTAACCACAGTGGTGTAGACTAAAATCAGAAAATGACAGTTTATTAGTAGAGATTTAGCTATCTGTAGGCAGATTATCCAAATAAAGTGTAACATGTAAATATATTATTATACTAACATTATACTTTCTATTTAATGTTATATATGTTATATATTTTGTTTATGAAATGGTCAGAAATAACAAGAAAATGCACAGATTTCAGTCATTAGGTAAGTCTTGCCTTTTCTGAAAACGCAAAGTCACCCCCCAGAGGCCTGTTCTGAGCCAGGAAAAACCCTGATTAGGAATAAATATAGATAATACCGCCACTCACTAAACCCTTTAAACTGTGTATTATTCTCTCCGTAGGATGATTACAGGGTGTGCACTGAATTCAACATCATCCAGAGGGACCAGGCTCCTATCTGCCCTGTGGATGCCTCGGGCTGCTTCACTTCAGAGGTCACTGACTTTGCGGGACAGTATGTCAAAGTGAGTGACACATCAGACATTTACATGTAGATTAGGTTGGCAGACATTTCAGGGAGTCTCCCCCTCGTGAGAGCCACTGGTATGATACATGGGATAAATTCCTCAATGATATTGATAGCTAGTTTAATTCACCATTTCATTTCCCTTCTTTCCTCTTTATTTCCTCTGTTTATATCTCAAAATGATATAATTGTAATGATTTTTTTCCTCTTTCATTCTGAACAGTTGCACTGAAATGTGCCCTTTCTTCTTGGTCATAGGTTTAATGCTTTTTAGAATTATGTTCTGTGGTAACTGAAATGAGAATATGAAATAAGTTTAAACATTTTTCCAAATGTAGTAGTGTGACTTGCTCATTGATGTGGAGGGAGTGAGGGAATCTGCATCAGAGCAGTGTCGCAAATTTGTGTAGGAAAACCTGCTGCCAAAGTACATTGCCACTGTTTACCACTGTACTGGGTGCCCTCTTCCTCTGTATCACACCCAACCTCATTATCATCCTAAGTGGATAGTGGGTGAAAAATAGCAGTCATACATGATCTGATCACAATTTCACATCCTTGCACAAATGCTAGGGAGTGGACTTGACCCGCCTGGCCACTAACAGTACAGCGTTAGCTAATAAAGAGCATGCAGCCACAGTTCACTCAAAGTCTGTCATGATCCACTTTTGAAATATGTTAAAACCAAGCGTGAGTTTCAAGGCTGTCTGAGACATTCTTTATTGCCGTATAAAAACTCGGAGGTGATCTGAGGGAACGTCAGGCGCAACGTGGGCCACACGAAGCGAAGTCGAGAGAGCCGCTGTTCCTCTGTAAACTTCACAACAAACCCAGGATTTTACACAACATGAGAGCCGCATCTTACACCCAGAAGAGCCTGCAGGTTAGCGGCTCCAGCGGCAGAGTAAGGGTTCAGAGCCCGTCGCCTTCCCGGTGCCGTGGATCCTCATATGACAGCCGTGGACGTTTGGGTTATCGCAGCACTGCTGTCGAGTTGGGCACAGAGATACACCAGCATCATGCCAACGAGAAAGAGGAGATGCAGGAACTCAATGTGAAGTTTGCAGGATACATTGAGAAAGTCCAGGCACTAGAGCAGAGAAATGCTGCTCTACAGGCTGAGCTGGCTGCACTGCAAAGCCGCTACAAGGGAAGCCCCACAGGCATTGGAGAAGAATATGAGCTCAAGTTTAAAGAGGTGCGGGAGCTTATTGAGGCTCTGACTAATGAGAAGGGAGCAGCTGATATCGAACGAGGCTACATTGAAGAAGAGGTTGAAGTGTGGAGACTAAAGCTGGAGGAGGAGCTGGCACTCAAAGAAGAGGCAGAGATGATCCTGAGGGAGTTTCGCCAAGATGTTGACAACGCCACACTGCAGAAGGCTGAGCTGGAGAAGCGTATAGAGCAACTGGTGGCCGAGATAGAGTTCCTCAAGAAGCTGCATGATGAAGAGGTGGCCGACATCATGAAGCAGATTGAGGACTCGAAGATTACTGCAGAGCTGGACGGCGATCGGCCTGACCTGGCTGCTTATCTACGCAACATGCGCGCAGAGATAGAAGCGGTCGCTGCCCGCAATGTCCAGGAAGCTGAGAAGTGGTACAAGAGCAAGTTTGACACCCTCAAGGAGCACGCTGGCAAACACGAGGTGCAAATGAAGGCCATGAAAGACGAGATCACGACCTTGCACAACCAAGTGACAGACCTGCAGAACCAGATTGATGGGCTGAGGTCTCGCAACGCAGCCCTGGAGCAGCAGCTGGAGGACATGGAGATGTCCCACATGGATAAGGTGGAAAGCCTTGAAGGTGTCATTGCACAGTTGGAGGCCCAGCTCTGCGAAACCAAACTGGAGATGACCAAGTATCTCCAAGACTACCAGGAACTGCTGCACATTAAGCTCAAGCTGGATGCAGAGATCGCCACCTACAGGAAGCTGCTGGAAGGGGAGGAGCACAGGCTTGGAATTGCCAAAGATGTCTAAATGTCTGGGATGAGAGGAGCTACAAGTCCAAAGTGGCCCCAGAGAAGACCAGCAGAGCATCATCAGCTCAGTCTAGTTAAAGACTTCCCTATCTACCCATTCTTTCCCTATTTTATTCTCCTTACTCAAAGGGGACTGTTTGAAATGTTTCAATACCAGTGCCGATTTGACATCTGAGTTTCAGTAAATATATATATAAATATATATATATATTTTTTTTTCATTAAACAAACTAGGACAATACTGTTCTTTCACAAGAATTTTGCCTTAATAGAATATTCTAAAACTGGCTTATTTTTTTTTTGCTTGTTTAGAAAATAACTAAATAAGATTACAAATCTGATGCCAGCTTTCTGTACTTGACAGTTTTGGATACTTGGTGCTGCAGACACATTTCACTCAGTACCCAGGAAGTAGCCCAGTTAGATACCTTGTCACCCCCTGATCCCACCATCCTTAGATCTTTGCTTATGTCTACTTGCTACCAGTTCTTACTTCAAATGTTTCGTAATTTTCCTGCCACTTCCCTTGCCTTTCCCTGTCCAACTCTACCTTGTCAGCCCCCGTCGCCCCATCCTGTTTTACATCCCCCAGGTCTCTTTAGCCAGACCCCTTTCTTTACTCCTTTTCCTACAACACCCTTGTTGAATTCACTTTCTCTTTTTGTTTGCAAATCAACCCTGCTGTTATACCCCTCTCACCATTTCATTCCTTCTCTTTGCTACATCTGCCACAGCTTCTCTTGATCCAATTTTCCCACCCCCTTTACAAAAAACACTTTTGTCCTGCTGTGATGTGCCATGTCTCAGACAGAGCGAACAAATATCATTAGTGCTATTACAGGTCTTTACAGTGCCCCCCGATTATTCCAAATGTTTGACAAGGCACAATTAATAATGTTGACCAAATGTTACTTAATAAAGATTGAAGTGAGTGCATACAAAATAATGCATTGATCATTTTCCTTTCTCCTGTGAACTTCATGTTTTACTCTGAAAAGCAGTTCTATTTTATCCTTTAATGAAATTCTAAATGTGCCACTAAAGGAATAAAACTTTGCTTTTAATGGCACAGGCTGCTATTTTGCATAGTTTAGCTGGGTTGTTTCAAATTATTACTCAAGAGAAATATTAATGTTTTCGAACCTGTAACTCTGCAGATTAATTATGCTTTGTGGCAAAGAGGCTCTAAAAGCGTCAAATATGTGTGAGTAATCTAATAACATATCGAGTAGCCCTTGTTTATACTCAATTGGCCAGGTGGTGTAATGTGTTTAATCTCTCAATGGGTTGCAGGCGAAGTTCCAATGAGTCTCACCATCACAGGTGCACTTTCATGTTTTAATGAGCCTGGGTCAGGGCATAACAAAATTTACTTGTGGCTGAGAAAGTTAAAAAGCCCTCTCTCTACAAAGAGGTCACGACCAACAGTCTGCCAAACACCTTGCTGAAAAGTCATATTTATGAGCTTCCCGTGAATTGCACGGTGAGCTTGGTTAGTGGGAGATGAAATAGGATGTGAGGAAGGCACAGGGCTGATTGCATATTAAATTGTTTGCCAAACGATGAGCTCGATGACAAAACAGACAAATTTCACATCATAGCTGTATGAGCAGATCGTGCATTTGACCTTGAATTGACCTTGTCTTTTCTTAAAGGGAAGGAAAAAGTCATGGTCCATGATCCAGAGCTTTTCTACATGAAGAAATAGTTTATATATAAAAAAAAAAAAAATTATTACCTGGCGAAAAAGACATCTGTAAACGTTTTGTCTGAACTGTAGCCATAGCTGGGGAAATGCACTGCCAGTGATGCATAGCAGTGTTATTATGTCACGGTTTCACTTTGAACCTCTCCACAATTCAAGAAATAAATTAAGTAAAAATTGGCATATTTCTGGGTTGCCTTTGTATAATATGTACAGGGGAACCACTGGTCTGTACTCAGTGTGATGATGATATATGTACAGTAGCAGAATGTGTAACTCATGTTATTACTTTTTAATGTAAAGAAAAAATAAATGATAAAAAACACATTGTGTATTTAAAGAAGATTTGCTGTGTGTCCAAATATGGTTGTTGTTCACACCTCTGTACATGTGTGAAGACCCTGTTGGATATTGGTTCAAAACAAGACACCATGCTTACAGAGTCCCTTTGTGTGTCATTCACTTCACACGCAACGCTTCCTAAATAGAGCCAGTCTGGCTGTAATTAAACAAAATATAGATAATCTTGACCTTGGGCCACCTAGCAAATGGATCACAGAGTGCATCCTTACCTGCGCAGCTTTGTCAGACAGTCAACTCAACAAAGAGGAGAGGCGGAGTCTGAACTTTTATTTCGGAGGGTCACAGGCTGTCACCGTTGGCTTACGATAGGTCACTAAGTGATCCTAACATGACCTGGGAAAACCTGTGTGATATTAACCCCAAATGAAGGAAAAATTCCTGTACAACTGCACATAGTTGCACACTTATGACATCCCCCAAACACATGGAAACTTTAACCACAGTGGACAGAGAAACACAGCCCTTTATTCTGGTATTGGGTTACTCTTTAAAGCTGCATTTTAAAAAATCTGTACTTTGTTTTTGTGTTTCTTTTATAGGATGCTGACAAGCATATCATCAAGTGGCTGAAGGAGAAGGGCCGCCTTGTCAATGCCAGCACGTTCAAACATAATTACCCCTTCTGCTGGAGGTGAGACAAACCGAATTCAACAGCTTTACATTGAGTCTACCACTGTAGATCCTTAAAACAACTTCCTGCTGAACATCAGGGTTGTGTGTCACAGATGTTTGGTTCAAATAAAATATATTGTTTTTCTACTTCAATAAAAACAGCCTTGTTTAGTGGTAGAAGACATAATGTTCAGCGTTCAGTACAGTCTTTAAAAGTAGATGTGTGAGGTTCTTTAGCGCTCATGTCTCCCTCAGGAGTGTCAGTGCAGGATGTCAATAGAGGTTTTTGTGGTCTCTACACAGAATCAATTCACAAAGCCAATGCCAGTGTAGTGACACAGTCAAATCCTCTCAAGGGCCCACATTATCTCATCATAAGTATCAGGCACATGCAGACCCACTCACATAAACATACTTACTTTTTGAGCAGACTAAATCACTCACTTGGAGCTGCTGCAGGCTGATCTGAACAGGATTAATTAACCTAGTAAATATGCAGAGATGTACTCTCTAAGCCACAAGGAGACACAGGCTCGAACAGATAAAATGGTTATTTTATTAACCACTCTGCACCTGTAATGTAGAACTCGGCCATCGTAGAGGGAGCTTTGCTTTTGACAAAAAAAAACTCTTTAAACCACAAATTGCTGGAAAAGATTAAAAGGTGCAACATTATCGAAACGTATTCAGAATCAAGGAGACAAAACAAAGTGGTAGAATTACAATAGTAAAAACTAAGATTTAGATTTTGCATTCATTTTATCCGCATGTACATATTTTAACATAATTTGCTCACAATAATTTTGCTCAAATTTTCCTGTGCTTTTCTGTGGTTGATAAAGAACATTTTTTTTCTCAAGATGGAGTCCCTGCTAGTAGCTCTGTGAGGTTGTACTGCACAAAAGGCCTTTGAGCTAAATGGTAACATGCTAACATGTTCATATTGACAATACTAACATGACGATATAATGTTCACAAATGTAGTTTAGTGTGTTGGCATGCTAACATTTGCTAATTAGCATTAACCACAAAGTATAGCTGAGAAAAAAATTTGGTAATAAAAGTATTGGACACATTTAGATTTTGACCTGATAATGTTGCTAGATGAAAAGTGAGGGGATCATCAAAGTCATTAGGACATTAATGTCAGCATGGCAATCTATCAAAAAGTTGTTGAAATATTTCAGTCTGAACCAAAGTGGTGGCTTGAACGACCGAGCTGCATTTCTAGAGCCATGTTCCTAGCGTAGCTAGAAAACACAGCCACCTATTGTTGCCTGTACCAGCCCAGTTTTTAATGGGAATTCAGTGATCAATACAGCAGAACAACACCAAGACAAAATATAATAATAAATACATAATAAAATAAAAAACACAATATAAAAATGAACTCATCCTTAGCGTCCAGACTTAAAAATAAATAGCTTGCCTCATGAATTACAGTTTGTCTTTGGAATATAATTTTTTGGAGGCCGAGTCCACTATGTGTCATTGTTTGTAATTTTAGCTTAGTCAGTTATTGTGAATCAAGTTGTCCTTGTTTTTGTGATATGTTTATTGTTGTATTGTATTCTTGCAACTTTTATATAATGACTTGCTGCTGCCTACCTTGGCTGGGACATGCTTGGAAAAGAGATTTTCAATCTCACTGAGCCTTTCCTGGTTAAAAGTTTTATAAAATGTTTTTAATTACTTTTAGGTCTGACACGCCCCTGATCTACAAGGCCGTCCCCAGCTGGTTTGTTCGAGTGGAGCACATGGTGGAGAAACTACTGGACAACAATGACAAATGCTACTGGTAAGCTGTTTTCTGACGCAAAGTGATAACCAGCATGGTGCTAAGAGATAGGGAATTGGCATCTATGAGCATCTTGCCCATCAAGTGGTCTAAAACACTTCTAGACCAGACAGACAGCAGTCTCAGTCCCAAAACAATTACAGCAGCGATGCTGCACAACCACGTCAAGTTGTTTGTCGCTGTCACAGGCCTGTTTGTGCAGGACAGCTATGTATCATGGGCATAGTAATTTTACATGTGAAGACATTGGATTTAAAATGCATGTTGGTTTTTTTTGTCATTAAAATCCTCATCAAAGCATTTTAATATGACGCACAAGGGACTGATGACTTATAGAAAACATTAGCATGATGCTAATTGTAATGGCAGAACATGGAGCAAAAGTAAGCGCCAGCATGATGGCTTTGCTAAGTGGTATTACCCCTGGTGCTCCCAGTGCTCTTTCCTGAGCCACAGTAGCTGCCTCTGGTAATGGGACTGTCAAACTGAGATGAATGACTAGCCGCTAGGAAGGTGAAGACGCACAGACACGCATGTATACAGAGACCAGCACAAACACACACACACACACACACACACACACACACACACACACTATGTTAAAGCCTATATTCCTTATCTGCGGGGGTACTAGAGTTGCATGTAATAGAGGACGACCAGTTTTATATGTATGTTAAAATATTGCAACAACAACTTTTCTTTTCTGTAAATTAC